ATACAATTAACAGAACAAAAAAAGTTGATCGAATTTAGCAGCCAGCAACTAGTTTTCTGTGTCTTGTAGAAAGATGAGGATGGGTGAGAGTGAGCGAGGATATAGCTGCTGCTGTTGAGTCACTTGATTCAATTGACTATAAAAGGTAAAAGGGTAGATTTTAGATTTAGATATGGATAGCTCGCTTCCTGCTATGTTCGATTCACATTTTCATTTACTAAATACTTAATTGTATTTGTAGGGCAGAGCTAACAAAGCAGAGTGAAGCGCAATCTCCATAAAATTCAAGTTTCTTTATAATTTGCATTTATTAATGCTTTTCTAACTGTTGCTGCTTCTTTTAATATTGCTTTATACTAAAGTATTAAATGATAAGATGTAAAACTATGCTAGATTGTAGTTTGTGTAGATGAGGCTTTTAGAGGAGGCGTGGGCTGATTTCAATATGGAGCTAAAAAGTAAGTGATCTGGTAAGTTTGATGGGTCTATTCTCTTCAGTCTTCGCTGTCTTCATCTGGCAAATATGTTAAACTGCGAGTACAGTTTGTAGTGATATTTAGCTAGTTGCTAATTTAATATATTCGGGTTTCTTTATCAGAGGAAGGCATGTATTTCAATTAGGATTGCAAAGATTTGTATTCCATAAAAAGCGGCCCGCCTACTTTTGTATATAACTATTTTGTTTTAAATTGAAAGTTTGCTCCTCACCCAGTTCCTAATTTTATTTATATCCTTCACTTCCACTTTTGTTGAATTCTAGACATAAGAAGTCAACTTCCTGTCAGAAAAGCATATTCTACTTTCAGTCTGAGAAAGGGTCATATCTTTCATGAATAAGCACACTCGTGTCTCTGTGTTACATATTACGCCATTCGCAAGGATCATTTTCTGCTGCGGCTATCGTATTTTATGTACTTTTCTTAGTTACGGCATCTACGTTATTTAACTAAACTAACTATATTCAATTCCACTCTAAGTCTTTATAAATGATTAAGCAAACATCGCCCTGAAATTCAGTTCGATAAGCGAACAACTCGATTTGCATGCAATCTTTTAAAGTAGTCGTAAACAAGGGAATCGTTTAAGAAGTGCAATTACGATTACTCAGTGCCGGGTGCGAATGCGTAATTTTATCTGCAGTCAAATTAAATTTTCGTTTCGTCTTCGTGTTAAGTTTAAAAGCCGCTTTGCTCATTACGGCCAGCAGCACGTTCAAGCCTGGTGCATACTACTCGACGACAGATGGCGCCATATTAATGCATCAGACTGAGCTGGATATGGGCGGGCAGTGCCCGCGGGACGACGACGCATTATCGGCCTGAACATGCGTTGACAAACGATAAAAACGACAGACCGAGGGCGGAGCGGAACTGCACTGACTTCTTGGAGCTCCTTTACGTTGTCTTTCCTATATATAATATCGCAGCAATAATTTGATCGTTAAAATGGACACTGCCTTTTAATGGTTTGTGTGTGAAGCCTCCCGCTTCGATGGTCCGGCTGCTGGGCGCCCTCCCAGCCTAGCGCTAGCCGTGACTTTGCCGCCCAATGGTTTGGCTCCCAGCTGCAATTAAATGTATTTTTACGATTGTGCAGCATTTGCAGTGAACGTCGCCTGCACCCCAACGCCGCGTCCCGCCCATCGGGGTAATGAAATTAACAGCCTGCGCTGGAGCGAACGACTCCACATTTGTGCGCTGTTGTCCTCTGGCCATGTCCTGTGATAAACGATCGCCATTGCCAGCTTTAAAATGCCACTTACGAGTAACTGCTGTGAAATGCTTGTTAAGCGTTAAATGGCCAAGAAAATATTTTTTTGTTGCTTTCCTTTTCTCTACATCATCTTTGTTTTTTTTCTTTTTTTTGGCCAGAATGCGTGAGTGCCTGGGCGTGGCAGTGCCCGATGGCAGCCATAACTGCCAGCAGCGACGGTCGCCATTTTGATATTATCTCTTGGGCAAACACACCCACACACACACACATACCACGCAGACAAACAAGGGACACACGAGCCCACTTGGCTGCCCACAGGTGGCGCTTTAATTTGCAACTTTCACGCGCCCGGGAGCCCTGTCAACACGCCTCGTTCGACACACCGCACCAGTTCTCTCTAAGTGAGCCACTATGTCAGACATGACCCGGCCCCAGTGAGAGGAGAAAGGAATGAATGGAGTGCAGGGGGACAGGCGGTAGTTGGGCACCTTGGCAAAGGAGCAGGCCAGGACGCTAGGGAGTAATTAACACTGCGTCGTTTCTACCGCTGAGCAAACAATGAGAAACTGATGCACTTGTTAATTACGCCGACTGCAGCTGCTATGGGCGTGGCATAGCAACGCCAGGTAAAAGCTCTATAAAATTATATTTACATATAGAGAGAAGGGCAACATTGGCTGAGGCGAACTGCATAAGAACTGAACCATTCTTAGTCTTTTTCCTTGAAACATTAATTTTTTTATGAAAGCAAATGTATTTGAAACTAAAGAACTTACAGTTGAGTGAAAGCTGAGACCTTTTTGAATTGAATATTCATTTATGCTGACCATGTTAAGAGGGCATTTGACACTCTTCAAGCAGAGCTGACCAGCTCAAGCCTTGCCCTAGCTTGTCCAGCAAAGTGTTTGACAATGTTTGAGCAGCATTAACAAGGGTTAAGCTTGAACAGCTATGACCGCATTTGACCTTGTCAAGCACCTATTTGACAGTGTTTGACAAGGATTGAACACGTCGGCAGCTAATCTGGCTAGGTTCAGAAAAGAACTTAAGCTGTAACTGAATTCAAGTCTTGAGTCAACTGCCCAATCTTCCAACTTCTTTAAAGTTCATTGCATTCATTACTACTTAGACGACTACAACCACATATTGTGGCTAAGCTTTCCTGCCAACTTTTCTCATAATGTCCACAGAGCATTCTCTTATTGAACTGTTTACAAACACCTAAAACTATTCCGTCTTCGTCTACCAGCTATTGCCAGGAAAAAATAAATCATTTCAGCTATCAATTTTCCTAATTTCATAAATATGAATTGGCTGTCTTGCTGACATGCCACTACCTGTTCATGTGCCTCTGCCTTTGCATCTCATGCGCCTCAGGCAAACAATCAACTAAAGCAACACACACACGCACACACACACAGAGAACTTCCACATTTCACGGCATGTGCAAAACTTGGCGCCCAGTTACAAGAGCCACAGCATTGAGCTCGCTGGCCCCTTGCTCCCAGTTGCCCCACATCAAGTTGCCACCTGGTAGCTGCCACATGGCGGCGTCGACTGCGACGGCAATGGCGACGGCGACATCGACCCCGACAAACATTTGCACACCCTGCAAAAGCACACAATGTATGTTATGAGTGTGATCGACTTTAACAAAATGCCCAACTTGAGGCTTGAGACTGCTTAGGGTATCTGACAGTCAGTCACTTTTACTGCTCAATCATTTATGTAAGTGATTAGCACGCAGCAACTGATATATATGCTAATTAATTTTTACTATATGCCTAAATAGTACAGGGTATCTGTCAGTCGACTACTTTTATATAGAGAGCTACATCATATTACATGAGCTGTAGCTTCTAGTCATGTATATATGCATTCTATGTGACCACTTCAAGCCTCATTACAGGGTATCTATCAGTCAGCCAACCTTAGCTGATTTCATTCCAAGTATAAGACCACATCGGGGCGCTCAGAAGAGTTGAACTTGCATACACATATGCATATGTTTCACGCACATTACAGGGTATGTGTCAGTCTATCACTCGCAACGTGTTTTTTGTTGGTCTCGTTATTTGCAGCTTTCATGCATCGACTGCGTATTTCAGCCAAAGGCGGCGTCGCCCACGCAACTTTGTGCCCTTTTCTAAAAGTGGGCGTGCGGCGAGGCGGGAGGCGTGGCAGAGTGGTTGCACGCCATTTTTTTTTTTTGTTTTTGTTTAAAGTAAATAAGCGAACTGAAGTGCAGCGCGACGGTTGAAATTTTTATGCACAGCCAACAACACGAAGAGCTCAAAAAAAATGTAGAAAATTCAAAACTAAACTATAAAAAAAATGTTGTGCAAAACCGCTGCACACGTGGGCAAACAAAACCATGTGTGACGGTGTGTGGGTGTGTTGGGTTTGTGTGCGTGTCTATTTGCAAAGTTTCTTTTGGGCAAACGCGGCTTTTGCCGGCGTCGTCGGCGTCGCCAACAGTTTTGAGCCACAAAAAAAACGAGAAGAAATATATAGTTACGCCCACTTGCCAGTCACCTGCCACGCCCATGCGCGAGACATGCAACTGCCACAGCAGCCGCAGCCGCAGCAGCAGCCCAGCATAAATTTCCATTACCGTTGACAAATATTTACACATCGACCTCAATTCATATTCTTTTTGATGCAGTTGCTTTTAGCTGCTGCTGCTGCTGCTGCACTCGGTTTGTGTGACGGCATGGCGGTGCAGGTGCAAGATATGACTGCGCAAATGTATGCTATTTATACCCTGTAACCGATGAATACCTTTAAACTGATGGGGTATGCTGAAGAGTTATGTGTAGCAGTCGCTAGTTGACATCAACTGAATTGAAAGTGCTTCGTCTTTATATTAGCTTTCTTATGCGATAATCTATTCGATAATTTTAAAGATCGATAAATATATATTGTTGTTTATTTTACTTTATTAAAGACAAATTCTTTAAGCTGTCAAATATGTTTATGTGTGTCATAAATTTGCTGAAAGGCACCTGCTTTTAAGTAGTAATCGATAATTATCGATTATAAGTATGAGATTATAAGGGAAGAGGCATCAAACTTGTATTATACATATTCAAATATGAGCTCCATTCACCAAAAGCCTAGCAAGCGAATTACCTGGTACATCATAGTCGAGCAATACCCATAAAAGCACCCAGACTAGTTTATATTGGGGCAGTTATAGCCAGCAGTCGCTGAGCTATTACTTAAGAGCCACAGTAGGCGTTGCTTGAGTGGGCTGGGTGGCGAGCTGTCAGAAGGGTCTGTTGGACGAATTGACAATCGTTGAAACGATTTTCCGGTTACGCTTAGAATATAACATTTATAAAGCCAAAAAATGTTCCAAATCGCAGACTGCTCTTTGTGGCTATCGTTGTTGCTGCTGGCTTTGGTGCACGGTGGCCAGTCGGAAGTGTTTCAGCATCGCTTGACCATCTTTGCGGAAGCGGGACGCATGGAATGCTACCATCAGGCTGTGGCTGCCACCGAGATAATTATGCTGGAGTATCAGGTGATATACGGTGGCCAGGGCGAGACGCACATCAACTTCAATCTGATGGATCCGCATCGCAGAATCCTCGTCACAGATCACAAGCAGCAAGGCCAGAAGCACAGGCTGGACGCCAACGAGACGGGCATCTATAAATTGTGCTTCGACAATACGATTAGCACGTTCAATCAGAAAATTGTTGTCTTCAATTTGGAGATAGCCGCGGCCAATCACGAGGAGCTGGAGCGCCAGCTGCTCATCAAGGAGATGACCTCGGACTATCATTTCGATCGCACCTATACCCATATGCACGACTATGTCACCAAAATTGGGGTGAATATGATGCGCGCGCGTCAGACACAGGACTATATACGCACGCTGGAGGCCAGGGATCGCAAGCTGGCCGAGTCTAGCTTTACCATGGTCAACAATTGGTCCTGTGCCCAGTTCATAGCCATGATTGTTGTTGGCATGCTGCAGGTCTTTATGCTGCGCAGCATTTTCAACACCGATGGCCGTTTTTACAATTTGTGGAAGAAATTCTGAATTAAGCTTAAGGTTTAATTGAAAATATGTTCGAAAATCCATTTGTGAAATAAAGTTCAATGGATCACAGAGATTTCTATAGTAACAGCAGCGGGGTCGAACTTTAAGTGTGGTTTCTCAGCGCTAAGCTTGGAGGCGTACAAGAGTGACTAAAGATAGTTAATAAGGTCTACTGTAGCTCTGTGAGTTTATTGATCTAATATGAATTTAAGCTCAGCTGTGTATAGTTTGATTACTGAGGCTTAATCAGTTTGTACATTAGAAAAAGTAAATCATTTAAGTTGATCAGTTAAGTGCAATAGAAAAATAAATAAAAATAAATAAAAACTAAAATAGCTTTAGATATTACGTTTATTCTGACTTTATTTTAATACTAAATCTGTGCCCTTATGTATGAAGTAGCGCTTCATTCAGTAGTTTAACTTTTCGGCTAGTTGCCGTCGACTGTTCTGCAACTTCTTCAGTACTGAGTGCTGCTGCTTAAGCTGAACTGCTCTAAGTATCGTAGCAACGCTGAGGCTACTCAGAGCAGCTCGAGGCACCAGATGATTGAGCTAAAGAGATCTGTGCTGAACTGTTTTCGAATGTTCTTCAGCCACTCCACTTGAAGGCGTGAATATCATATTCATGTTTGACTTCTGTCTGTTGTCTTAGTATTAGCTCAATGCAACTAATTCAACTGGCCTAGCATCTTGCTAAATTTCTCCTAATGCCTACAAGTTCGGTAGATCAAATTACAAATATTCTTGACTCCAATTTTCTTGAGTCCTTAAAGAGTGCAATGTTATAGATAACTTTAGCATCAGCTGCAATATAATTATCGTAAATACTAATGCTTGATCACAGCCAGCGCTGTGTCGTCCCTGATTATCATTTGCAATTTATTCATCGCATACATTAACAAACATAACAGTTGTTTGTAAGTTTATTTATCTTTTAAAATGCGTTAATTTTCAGCATTTTATGCAACACAAACTTGACTCTATGTGAACACATGTTTTGTCTATTGCCAAAAACCCTTCTCCCAGCGCTGCTACAGGCTCAATCCATCAATGTTCTTTTCGATAGCCCACAAAATTTGTCAGGACTTGAAATAAAATTTGTGCAGCAAACTCTGACATATATATAATGCGCACGCCTCTAAACCACTGAGCTACGCCCACCATTTGACATCGAGTTTGAGCCGGTCGTGTGTCTCAGCTTTAAGAGTGACTAAGATGTGGCAGCTGCCACAATAAGAATTAAGCCCAAAATGGTGAAGGTCAACCACAGAAATGGCTCATGAATTATTAAAAACGAGGCAGAAGTGTGGCAAAAGTTGCCACTACTTGACCCCAAGCTAAGGGGCTCCAAACAATGATTGCCAAATGGCAGACGTCGCCATTGCCACGCCTCTAGAACTGAAGCGAGCTGAACCGAACCGCAAGACCCAAAAGATGTTTTGACATGCAGACAACTAACTGTAGGCAATTGCTTGGCCACAGCTGACCAGGCAAGAGTGGAGCGCCTGCTGCCTGCTCCCTGCTCCAAGTAGCACTTTAAATTAATGAACTGAGATTAAGCAAGACAAATTGTTGTTGCTCTACAAATTCTCTATAAAGGCAAATTGTTTTTCGCCCGAATCGAGCTGCAGGCAAAAAATTTATTATTTTTGTTTGCTGCCTGGCCTCAAAAGAAAATTTACAATTTACTGTTATTGATATTTTGTGGCAGGCAACAGCAGCAGCAGCAGAAGCCGAGCAGAGCAGAGCAGAGTAACAAGAATTGCAATTAAGAATTTAAGCGCAAAACGTGGCCACAGCTTGCTGCAGCATCGATTGCCTTTCAGGCCAGTTGTCAACGCCCATGGAAACAAATTTACAACTGTTTGGAGACAAAATAAATTTTGCATTACATTTGGCTGCCCAAAACGCTCTTGCAGCTCTTTCAGTTCCTCTACTTTCACTGCGATACGAATCTCATGTGTGCATGCAATGCAGCCAATTGTAAAGTTTTCGCTTGCTGCTGCTGCTGCTGCTGCTTTGTCACAGGAACTGTGTTGGATTCTCTTCTCTTTTTTTGGCTACTGCAGAAAATATTCATTGAATTTCCTAGTGACAAACGACAAGTTGTCACTCACTGACGAGAAAGAGTAGTAAATCGAAGCTTAAATACCCTATATAGAATATGCAGATGCGAGAAGGGGCTTGTGAAGGGATTCTCATGTGAAATAAATGTGGAAAATGAGAGTAAAAGAGAGAGAGAGAGGAAGAGACAAAGAGATACAGTTAAAGTGGGATAGAGAGAGAGAGGCTATGAGAGATACAGATAGAGTGAGAGAGAGAGGGTAATACATAGAGCGAGAAAGAATCGGAAGCAGCGAAGAACTAGAGGGATACAGAGAAAGAGAGAGAGAGAGAGAGAGAGAGAGAGAGAGAGAGAGAGTAAGAGGGAGAGAGAGGGAGAGGCTTATACATAGAGCGAGAAAGAAGCAGCGAAGAATTAGAGAGATACATAAAAAGAAAGAGAGAGAAAGAAAGAGAGGCAGACATAAATAGAGACAGAAAGATGGAGGCATAGAGGTAAATAGATAAAAAGACAGAGATATAGAGATATAGATATATAGAGATATAGAGACATAGAGACATAGAGATATAGAGATATAAAGATATAGAGATTTAGAGATATAGAGAGAATTGGAAGACACCCCAAGAGAGGAAGCAGCACAGAATTAGAGCAGAAAAAAATACGCATAGAGAACGAGAAGGAGCGAGAGACCACAAAGAGACAGGTAGACAGAAGAGAAGTAGAAAGAGAGAGGGAGAGCTCAGAAGACTGAGGTCTACATCTAATCAGATATAGACATAAAAGGAGAGAAAGAGAGAGAGAGAGAGAGTCACGATGTAGCCAGGTAGACAGACAGCTCTGGGCTTGCCTCAGCTAATGAAAGAAGATTGAAGAGAAGTTAGATAAAGTCAGAGTGCCTGACACATAGATAATATTGATTATACGTAGAAAAACTTGCTTAAATTGAAAATGTGAAGTCAGAAACGAGTTATATTAGACAAAGCAAATATTGCTAACAGCCATGATCTAAGGTTCCCCACCACTCAGAGAAGCACTTTTATGCTTACTTAATGCACTCGACTACCCCATCTGCTCTGCTTTATATATTGAGCGATTAAGCTGTGCTACCCTTGATAGTTGGACGAAAAATAAAAAAAAACAAAAAAGCAACAGAATTTTCAAGTTGTTGAACAGCAAACAAATTTATTACCTTATGCTGCATGCATGAGCTACTGTTAATATAAATTCCAATCAAATGCTGTGAGAGCGGAGTACAATGCTGAGTTGTGCGGACATTACGATTGCGCCATAAGACAGGGAACTCAAAGTTCGACTGCCGCGCTGCAATATAAATAAGCAATTTGCAACAGCAACAACAACAGCAGCAGCAGCAGCCACATAAAACGCAATGAAGCAACCATTTCTTCCAAGTTTTTTTCCCGTTTTTTTTGTGGCAGCAAATTACACGACAAATAAAAGTGGAATCTGTATGGGGCAGCAGTAGCAGCAACAACTGACACTGGTTGCAAGGACATTTTGCGCAGCTTTAGCCAAAGCGCTTCAAAGTGCTTCTTAACGAAGCTTAAAAGCAATGCCAACAGCAACAGCAACAGCAACAGCAACAACAACAGCAACAGCAACAGCAACAACAACAACTGTTGCAGCTCCGAAATTGCTGTTGCTTGCTGCCTGGGCGAACAGCCAACAGACCACGCCCACAACAGCCTGACAAGTTTACAGCAAAGCTGCTGCTGCTACTGCTGTTGTTGTTGTTGTTGTTGTTGTTGTTGTTGTTGTTGTTGTTAATAATGTTGTTGCTGATGTTCAGTGAAGCATGCCAAAGTTGTCGTGGTCGTTGCGGCTATTAAATAGGTTTACTAAGGCTCCTCAAAGGTTGCCGCACGAAATTCAACTGGATTTGGTTAATGTGTAACGGCTACTTATGGTTAACTTGAGCCTTCTCCTCGCAACAGCTACTAAAGCCTAACCATATTTGGTTGAGGCAAGGCGAAGCAGCAAGTGCCTGCGGCTCAGCCAATATTGAATGATGCTTTAAGATGCTTATATCAGGAATTGTGATCCCAGATTAATATGCGCTCAATTTGGTAGACTAAACAAGTGTGGGATAGATTTTCAACTTGATTTTCTAGTTTCGATAGGATTTTACATAACTTTTTATACTTGTTCAGAGGTGCATATATTGATATATTTATATATTGCTTGCTATCTATCCTGATTTCCATTTGTTCGAATGTCTGTGTGAACTCAATGCTTTGAAGCTTGAGACTTTATTGGCTTTGAAATACATGGTGTATGTGGAATGCATGGAATACATGGAATAGATGGAATACATGGAATACATGGAATACATGGAGTACATGGAATAAGGGGAATACATGGAATGTGTGGAATAAATGGAATGCATGGAATGTGTGGAATAAATTGAACGTATGGAAAGCAGGAATACATATAATAAATGAAATACATGGAATAAGTGGAATACATATACAAAATGAAACATATGGAATAAGTGGAATACATATACAAAATGAAACATATGGAATAAGTGGAATACATATACAAAATGAAACATATGGAATAAGTGGAATTCATGGAATACATGGAATAGATGGAATGCATGGAATACATGGAGTACATGGAATAATTGGAATAATTGGAATACATGGAATGTATGGAATAAATGGAATGTATGGAAAACAGGAATACATATAAGAAATTAAATACATGGAATAATATAAAAAATGAAACACATGGAATAAGTGGAATTCATGGAATACATGGAATACATGGAATGCTTGGAATACATGAAACACCCTCAAACCTCGTACCTTTAAATAGTAATGTATGAAGATTTTTTTGGTTGGGGGCAACACCATCTCATGTCTTACGGTATCAGCTCTCTGACTACTACTTATGATGCTATTAAATTTAGAAAGTTGCAGTTTGAAATAAACATTCGAAAAGGTTGGAAGGTTTGCTTAGCTAACCTCTGGATAAATTTAACTGCAGAAACCGCAAAAATTGTCAAGTGAAATGTTATTGG